TCTGCTGACGTCAGTAGAGGAGAGGAAAATGTGCCAGTTTGATAGCAGGATCTCAGCAAGAGCTGTCGCAGTATTTGCTTCTTGTACGTAGCCTTTCTTGCAAATATCTTTCTACATGGTCAGATGTATGTTGCTTAAATAACAGGCCACATCTATTCCACCTGATACGGAGTAATAACCCTGTAATAATGGTGCTGTAATTCAAAATCAGGATCAACCCAGCATCACCCCTTTGGCCTAAGTCACGAGCAGGGACCAGTGCCCTCCTGCCACAAGTTTTGGGCTACAAGTCCCATCAGCCCCATCTAGCATTTCCAATGACCAATATTGCTGGGGTATTTTAGTCTAAAACTACTGGAAGGCACTAGATTGCTGACTCCTGCCCTAAATAGTCCTGACTGAGTGCGGGTGCTGAAATTGTCACTAAAAAAATAATCTGCTATCCTGAGGATTATAGTTACCTTTTTTACCCCCAAAAAGAGCCTTTAATGGTACAAATGTAGTCTTAAAACCATGTGACCAAGATCGGATTAAATCAAGTTGTAGGGAATATTGAGCAGAATTCCTTCAGTGCCCTGCCTTACTTTCTGCTGTAACGCCTGGCTGGTGTCCATCTCCCATGCAAAGCAAATGTGCCCAGACGCTACGGAAACGTCCTAGCACCTACGTGCTGTAGGCTCTCAGCTGTGGTTCCACACGGACTCTGCTTGTCGTAAGGCACAGTCCTGTGCAAGTGGAGACAGAAAAAGGCGCACTGCTCCAAGCGTGTCCCAGCCGTGGCCGTCATTGTGCTTATAATTTTGCAGTACTTCAGTAACTCCCTCCTACTTGTTTGACTTCAGTCTCACAAACTTTTCAAGATTAGCTGTGCAGTTTGAGCCCTGCTTGTTTCCGTCACAGTGAGAAGTATTCTGTTCACAGCAGCAAGTACGACCAGCCATCCTGGTCAGGGTTGCACCAATGTCAAGCATTTCATTAGCATTTATTGCTTTGCGTGCTGTCCCAAGTTGCAGGCCCATATGTCTGGTGGAGTGTGAAGGCCCCCCGAGTCCCTTCAGCCACTTAAATCACATGAAAATGCTGTAAAGAGTGACCTGCAGCGGCACAAGGGCAGCTTTGCAATCCGTGGCAATGGTTGCATGTGAAGTACGGCGGGGCTGATTTTGTCATTGTGGAAAGGAAGGCCTGAGCATTTGGAACCCTAGTTCCACAGCAAAGAAGAAAGCTGGACCCAGAGACAGCCCAAAACAGGGTTAACTTTGCCATTAACCTAAGTGAGGCACGTAGAGTTTGGGTCCCAGGGAAAGATAGCAAATTGTTGAGAACTCTAATATTGTATTTTTGCTGTTAAGGATGTACAACTAGGTTTTTTCATCATGAGAAGCTTAGCCCATAAATCAGTCTTTTAAAACATTGAATTTCAGATCCAAAAGCTGACCTAACATCACCACAACTATTTTATTTAGTTTAGATTTAACTCAACATCATTTAATGTTGAGATAGGGAGAGACCTGATATAAAGAAAAGGGCGGGACTTTGATTTTAGCAACAGGTTGGTCCTGCTATTTGGCAGGGCAAGGTGGTCCCCTTAGGTGAGGGAGATGCTGAAGGATAGGGAGAAAGCAGTGAAATGTGGAAGGATAAGAGTGGAGTGTACCACGTGAGTATCCTCAGGCTCTCTAAACTAGTTTTCTTGCCACTGCTCTAGTATTTTAAATCTCTCTGTATTCGCGTATGCATATGCGTATGTATATGGGGCGAAAAGAAAGAAAGGGAGAAAAACATGACAATCTGAAATCCTGAGCCCTTGTTTTCAGGGGTTCTTTTTGTAACAGTGAACAATAGAAAACATTTTTCTTTATGCTGCATGCTTCATTTGTGCAGCACATTACAACTTTTTCCTTCTCGGTATGCTCAGGCTTTCTAGAGTCAAGAACTCTACCTTGCTCTCTCTTCACAGAATATACCTAGGACTTACATTCTACCAGCAATACTGTCGGTGCACTTCCACCCAAAGACACACACACCGAACAGCATTACGTTTTTAAATCTCTCCTTGAGCTGACCCTCATGGTTTTGTATATTCACTGGCTGATACTACCCTTTTGTGAGGTTAGTGAAATTATGAGTTCACCTCTTTCACACAAAGAAGTTGAATTCAAAGATTATTTGTCTAGGCACAATTCACTTGGAGTCTATTTTTAATCCAGTTTGTCTGCACTGGAATTTAGGGCTGAATGCTTGCCTCAGGCTCCCCCACCCCCTTTTATTTTCACAACAGTACTGTGAAATAGACTAGTTTGAATGATATTCATTGAGGTCACAGTGAGCTTCACGACCAAACAAAGATTTGAGCTTGGGTTTCCTTGATCCTAGTCCAACACTCCTGTTGTTCCAATCCACTGGCCCTCCTACAAGCCTCTCTACTTGGGATTGCAGACTGTGATGTTCCTTCCAAGATTTTCATGTACTCAGTCCAGAAGTTACTCCAGTCAGGGAGGGACAAGTGAGAACTGATGGGTTTGCGCATAGAATGTTGGACTTCGATCTGTGGTCAAATCTCAGCTTGACAACAATGGCTTGCTGTGACCTTGAGAAAAGTACCATTTACCATTTTATCTTCCAACTGTGAGATATAGACAATAGTAATCTATTGTACAGAACTGCTGTGAAGCCAAAATGTTGGGTGGGGGGTATATATAGGTTGTATACATTTTGTATTTTCAACATACAAATGTGGAGATTTGGTACTGAACACAGCAACTAGAAAATTCTAGCTGGCTTGCTCTCTTCTTTTTAAAGTAAGTATTATCTCCTTGAGGCTGTGAAGATAGACTTAATTTCCCTCTGACCTCACTGTTTACAATCCTTCCTCTCAGCTATATGCATTGTGTATGCTTATGAACACCTGAAACTGTTAATAACACTTCATGCATCAGAAAGAACGGGCTATAGCTCAGGGGAACTTATGCCATAGTAAATGAATATTTAAGATGCCATCACCATGATTTTTTCCCCCCTGCAACAAACTAACATGGCTCTTTGGAAATGGATCCGGAGTGATACTGTTGATGCCCATAGTCTAAAGCAGAGTTAGGAATGCTTAAATTTAACATAGTGATCTTAATGGGTTTAATGGTGCCTAACTTTGGATGGGGGCTAATGCAACCTTAGATGGCCTTCAAACGTAACTGTGTACAAGTGATTAAGGATCTTTCTGCCAGAAGATGAGGCCTGCTTCTCCATCATGCAGCCAGTACTTCTCGAACAATGCTGGTACAAACACAAAACTGAATGCTTGTTGCCTCTTCCTTTTTGCTCCTCACCCCATGCTCCAAGTTGACTCGTGTGTTTTCCAAGTGTCTCACTTGTTTGTGTGTGATCATACATTCAGCATAAACAGCTTTTATTTTTGAACAGTTGAAAAACTGCTCCAAAGAGGTGAATGGAGGTGAGTTCATGACTGACATGGAGGTTGGCCAATCAATGTGTAAGTCTTTTTGCTGTAAAGCAGGACAACAGATTTCCCTTTTACACTTACCCAGAGAGAGAGCTTGTGCACCTGTCCAAAACACTTACACTTTGATGTCAGTTCATGGCTCTTCACTAAAATTATGCTCATCTGTGCACTCATGGTGCCAACTGGTAGACTGGGGTGATATTCCTTCTTGAAGAGTCCCCTTCCAGTCAAAAGCCTATGTTACCCAGCTTGGTGATTAATAACATCTGTCATCTGAGCCAGTCTGGGTACTATAAAAGTCAGGCCGAAGCAGCAGGAACAAAAAGGTTCTGTGCAATTCCAGTGGTCTCTCAGTCATTTGTGGTAAGATTTTGTATGTCCTAGATGATTTCTTTACAGAAAGATTTCTTGGCAAATGCCTGGTGTGATTGCCATATGGACAGTGTTTGTGATCATGTTTAAAGTCTTGATGTACTTACAGGTGTGCCAATAGGCAGACTGTTGAAATGGTAGCACCTGCAAGGGAGTTTGTACCCTGGGCAGTGGTTGCAGAACCAGAATGAGAAAATCCCGGGGATCAGTGCAGTTGATGATATTTAAGAGAATTCCCAGAATGCTGCCAGGATGACTACCTATAAGTTTGGCCTTGCCCATTGTGGTTTATTACCAACTCGGCTGGAAATGTAACCAGTTGGATATGGAATATAGGATGAATCAAGGAGGGAAAGGGCCTAGCTACTTTGAAAGAGGGAACTGTGAGATTGCGCTTAAAGAAGTCAATGACTCACAACTTTTATGAAATTGCAGTTTGCCTGCATTATATTTCATATTAATGATATATAGAAATATTTGTAAAAATACTGTATAGTATCAAATGCAATGATCTCTAATGTATTTTTTCTATACCTGACCAATTCCTCTGTTCTTTTCCTTTATTTGGTGGCTTTCTCTGTTTTCTTTTTGCATTTCTTTGCATAAATCCTCTTTGTACCCAACTCTTGCTGTTAAACAGAAAGAAACAGTAGAATGGGTTTTCCTTCTCTGCTGAAGCCCCTTTCCACCCCCAGATCTGCTCTGAAAGATTGGAGGACACTCCAGGGCAAATTTGGAGACATGTGGTGAGCTACAGGGAGGAAGTAAGCAATGATAAGCAATCTAACATGTTGGATTTTAACCCCTGGGTTTATCCATTCCTAGATGAAGCTAATCCATTTCAGAACCATTTTAGTGTGGCTTTCAATCCATTTATGTGACTGAAACTATCTTGGTTGCCTTTTGGCAAGTATTCACTTGGGAAGAGGCCATCCTGTTGATTCCCCTGGAATACTTCTGCCAGTTTCTAAATACCATTGTCCACAGTATTCTTCCAGGCTGTTTGCTGGTGAACTGGTTTAGTACTAAAGTTTGATTCTATATTAATATTATGGTGGTAGTGGTGGGGTTGGGTAGTGTTGTAGCTCCCTCAGGTGATATAGTTAGTAAAGGTAAACATTTTTAAACACCAGGAAATAAAAAGTACCTTTTTTCTCTTTTGATCCAGGTTGGCTCAGTCTCTGCTTGCTCTCTTTGCGTCCTCACTTGCGATCTCTGTTGTTTTTGCCATCATTCCTGTCTGCCACAATGTGGTGGTGCTTGCAGTGGTCATGGCTGTGGCTGGCCTGGCCATGGGCTGCATCGACACACTTTCCAATATGCAGCTGGTGAAGATTTATCAGAAGGATTCAGCAGTCTTCCTGCAGGTAGGACAAGTAGCTGGCAGGGCCGATCCCCTGTTTTGCACCTATGTATGTTTTACTGCTTGGAGCCTTTGCCAGGGACTGGTAGCCAGCCAAGTGTGCTTGCCATCACCCCACTGGGGTCTTTCTTCTCATGTCGTACTAATTGCATGACTGGGAGGGGCGCACTTTGTCAGTCTCTCAACATTTGAGGTACGGAGAGGGACGGGCTGTCTCCCCTGCACTGAACAGCAGAGGCATGGTGCATTCCAAGGATCCGAGCTGTTGGTGCACCAGGAGGAACTGTCCATGTGATGGTCATTGTAACAAGCAGAATACCTGTAGAATGGTATTTGTCAGTGGAAGTTGTTCCACCAATGGATAACAACATCTTTGTGCATGTTAGGGCAGCTCTGCACATGATTTACCTTTGTTCCCACCTGGGTGCCATGCCATCTACCGGTAGAGTAGGAGGTCACTGGTTGAACACAGATATCTTTCCCCTGCACTCCCCAGTTGCACTTGCTACACTATTGGCATGCCCTAAACCTCTGGTCATCCATCTTAGTTGTGCTGGTTCAGTCTCTGATTCAGATTTGTGTAGTCCTCACCCAAATAAGCACAATAGACAAGTCCCTTGAATCAAAGTGACAAAAGCATTTGGGTTACACAAGATCACTTATGAAAGGCATTGCAGAGTTAACTGTATGATGCACAGAGATCTCATTTGTCTTAAAACTGCGTGTGGGGTAAACTTCAGCTTTCTTACCATAAAGCTATGCTGAGAAAGGAAGGGCCCTAGGAGAGAATCCCATGTAGTAGCCTCCCTTTTGATTCCTATGTTTGTCAGGCTGGACCAGGTGCTGCCATCAGTAAAGCTATTTTCTCCTTGTTTTGCGCAGGCCCTTCATTTCTTTGTGGGCTTTGGAGCCCTGCTGAGTCCTCTCATAGCTGACCCTTTTCTGTCTGATACCAACTGCATCCTGGCCAATGGCACAACCAACAGCAACAGTAACCTTCCTCACATCCGAAAGTCTCTGGTCCCCCATCACCTTGGGAACCTGTCGCATTATGATCTGCCCACGAAAGGGCTGGTGGTGACCCGAGTGTCTTACGCCTTCTGGATTATGGCTTTGATCAATGTAAGTAGTGCCGTTCTCATGCAGAGTCATTCCAGTCAAATGTATGCAACTTGGTCTGCGTAGATGGAGGAGTCCTACATAAGGTGGCATGCCAGTATGAATAATCTGATCCCACTTTGCATTTTAAAACTTCCTGACATCACAGTTCTCCCACCCTGCTGTCTCCATTTGTGAAACTCTGCTTGTAGTGGTCCTTTGAACCACAGGGATGGACTGACAAATCTATCTCTGTTCTGTTTTGTTTAAAAGATTTTATGGCATGCCTTTCTATCCAATGAATCCCAAAGCAGCTTAAAATAAATTGTGCCCAAAGATTACAAGGGGCACTCCTACTGTGCAAGGCAGGTTACACCTTTTTTGTCTTCTGCCAGAATTACTGTGTGTGCAAGGAGCAGACTTTATGAATTTCTTGTCACAATCAATAAGACATTTGCCTACCATGTCATTTTTCCTAATCGGCTTTGTTTACCCACTATAACATCTTGCAAGTTAAGCTGTAACTAGGGCTGTTGTTCCATCTGCAAAATCAGACCTTCCGAGTGTTTTCCTTGTATGTTACCTGCATGAATATTAACCAAATGAGATTTCTCTCTAAATTGTCTAGAGCCGTTTTCAACAGAATACTGCTTGAAATGACCAATCCTTTAACAGTGCTTACATCTCCAAGCACCCATAAAAAATTAAGAAATTTTGCTGGAAAAGCTGTGCTAATCTGATCTCTGGGTCATCTTTCCCTCTTGGGGTAGTAAACTGGTATCCTTTCTGACCTGGCTCATTGCATTCCAAGGCTCCCTGAGCAACAGTACAATTCTACAAAGCAGCAAAGAAGGGGCTAGAAGCAGAAGAGTGGTGCTGTATTAAGAGGGTGAAGCTGGAGATAATGCGTCTTTCAAATGGCATAGTGTTAGTTCATATAATCAGAATTGGTTGGCTATGCTTTTTCCTGGACAGTTCCATTCCCAGGAGGGGAATTGCTTGTTTGACTCTCCAGTCCCTTTGGGGCACTCTGTCTCAAGTTGATCAATCACTTGTAATCTAACAGGGAGACACGAAAGAACATTTCTCCTTTCTCATTACCAACCTTAATAGACTTTTCAAGTTCGGTCCCAGGTATGATACAATCCTATGCATGTTAGCATCATAGTAATAACTACAGCTTATTTTGGCGGGACTTACTTTCATTGTAAGTAGCAAAGAATTGGCACCAATGGCCATTGGACTCCTGGGGAGAATAGGAACTTTAAGGAGTAAGTTTCATTGAGATGGCAGTGTGGATGCCACAGTCTCAGTCTTAATTACCCCATGCTTTCTTAAAATCCAATTCAGTTGCATACTTCAAGTTTCATGTAACGTAGGCATTTACCCAGGATTTGGAAGGTTTAGTGTCACAGTTCAGATACTGTTCCAGGTGAACTGCTGTGCTCCTCCCTCCTGGCTAATTTCTAGTTCTCATAGAAATGAGACTGGACACATCACATTTTCTCTGGAAGCTGTCACCCATCCACTCCACTTTCTCTGTATCTTTCTTTACAGCAATTCATAGTTGGGAATTTAGCTAATACCAGTAAACGCACCTCCTACTGGTTTAATCCAGGTGGCTTCTGCATTATACTGAGTGCAACACAACTCAGTCCTCCAGCAGGTTTTTGTGGCTTGGCCAGAATTGTGAACATCCCGGAATCTAACAAAATGTTAAACAAAGGATTTATTCAGAAAAATAGAAGATAATTTTGGGCATACAAAAATGGATCAGATAATAGTTTTCTGACTGATACTCAGAGTACGTTAAATATCCTAGAGAAGGGAAGCACTACAAAGAAGCCAGTGGGCTTTTTAGATCCTTCTTGAAGAACAAAGTCAACTACATCTTGGCCGACAGAGACGGTCCACAGCATGTGTTAATTAAAACTGCAGTGCAGTGTATCAAACCAGGACCTGATGGCCTTGAGTCAGATGAGTTCATCTCTTATGCATGGAAGAATTCCTTTGAAGTAGAGTGGCATTACAATATTTCATTGGAAGGAACTATTTCCAGGATCTGTTAAAGTCCCAATTGGACAGTGAATTCATCAGCACAGACTGCAGACATGGAGCAAACCAGAAAGGGAAAGTCCTTGCTTGAGAATCTATTTGTCACCATCAATATTGGCTCAGAAATAATTACAGGAATGCTCAGCTTTAGCTTAAGGGGATGTTGGCAGATAGATTATTTTATTGTCCCAAATAGCTCCCAGCCCCTAAAATCAGCTTGCCTGTCAAAGACCTGCTTGAATAAAAATGTCTTTTTATTCTGCCTGGCAGAAGGGCAGCAGAGCAGGGACCATTGGAAGGGCAGTGGGGCATCCCGCTGCATCCCAGGAGGCCTCCAGTGGATGTGTTGCTCTGTCGCTCATCCCTGCTATCCCATCAGCTTCCCTCCCAGAGAGCACAGCACTGCATGCTTGAGGATTCCCCGCCGCCCCAGGCATCAAATTGAACCAGGAGCCATGCTGGTTTTCTCTCATAGGCCACCGTCTTGGTAACACTTCAGTCTCAGCAGTGTTCATTTTGTTTAGCTGTTGCTCCCTTCATTACTTTTTCTTAAAACTACTAGGAAGGTGATGGCAACATCAAAGCAAATGGCATTGCAGAGGAGCTGGGAGAGACAGCCTGCCTCAATTCTGTTTGTTTGTTTTCTAGCTCACCTGAGTTGCTGAAGGGAGCTTGCCATCGTGGTTGCAGTCCTAAAAAACATTTATTCCACCATGAGCACAGCAGGAGTAAACATGTATAGGATACAAAAATGGGAGTGGGACCTCTAGAAATTGAATGGAGAAGAACCTGTCCTGGCTCCCCAGATTGCTATTATGGGCAATCTGTGGCTCCTTGAGGCCTACGGTTCCTATTGTCCCACATCACTGTTTATGCTGGCCAGGGCTGATGGGAGTTGTAGGTCAGACATCTGCTGGTCCATAAGTTGCCCCCTCCCCCGGCAGTTAATGTGATTAGGGCCCCAGTATCCAGGATGACTGGGCTCTGATACTCAGCTTTCTCCTCCTAGATCATTGCAGGAGTTTTAAATCTGAGATAGCAAATGCTTCTAAAATGAATGGGAATTCAAGGGCAGACAAAAACTCTTGCAGCATCCATGCTGAAAGCTTTTTGATCCTTTGGGTGCCACATTCAAGCATGGGCCATCCCTCCCCTTTGTGGTTAATCTTGATCTAAACCAGAGATTCAGGCTTGGTCAGGAGCAGGGATTTAGCAATCTGGCTGCTACATTGCTGAAAAAGATGAGTGTACACTAAACCAACAGGAAAGGGAAGCTGTGGGCAAGAAGGTAAGACAAGTGGTTGCATCTAGTAACAGGCTTTCAAGTTTCCTCTTGTATTTCACTGCTGCTGCCTTACCGCTGAGCCTAACAGGGCGGGCACAATAAACAGTCTGGCTAGGCAGTTGTTTGGGAACTGAATGGGGAACGGGTGGCCCTTTCATCATCCCTGCCCACTGGCTGTGCTGGCAAGGTTGATGGACATGGCAGACCACCCGCATCTGGAAAGCCACATGTTCCCCACCTCTGCTGCAAGCCTGGCTGGGCTTCTTGGGTAAAGAGCAAGATATACTAACTCTGGGTATTTCCCTGAGGACTTTTGTAAGCTTTCAGCTGACAGACCGTACTTTCTTTTGGGCCACCTTGACACGCACTCTATAGCTGGAGGAGAGTTTTGTTACAATTATCTCATGTAATAATGCTAGCTCCATCTTTTTGAAAGATCTCCCTTGCAAAATCCTTGCTCAATTTTTAACACTTCACAGCCTCTACAAGGCTTTCTAGCCCTTAGGTGGGTGTCGGAACTTCTATTTTCTGCCTTGCTTGGGAAATATTAGAACAACCTACTTAAAATGCCAAGACTGATGTAGTCAAGCTAAACATATGGGGTTGGTGGAACAGAAGAATTGAATGTTCTTTGCCTAAAGGAAAATAGACGTTTTCTTTTCTTCCTTTTTTGCAAATTAAGCAGCTATGTGGTAGAGTGGGCAGGGTAAAAGAACACAGCCTGAAATTTTGTAAAACATAAATACCTACACTGGGTGCAACTTCAGTAGGGGTGCAAAATGGGCATTGAAGATCCTGTAATGTATCAAAGGTTATTAACATAATATTATTTGAGCTCGGAATAGTTTTTTTCTTCTAATATGGCAGATGAAAATCTAGATACTCGCTTGAACAGAGGCTTAGTGAAGTCAAGCAACTCAAGCAGTGTGGCCCTACTGCAACTTCCAATTTCTATGCTTGCAGTCTATCTCAGTGAAGCACATTCTGCTGTCACATAATGTTCACCAGAGAAGAGAAAATTGCACTTGGATACCTGCTGTAGCTGGCAGATTCTTTGCACAATCATTCTTGATGAAGATCAGTCTTCTCTGAGCAGCAAGACCTTTGTCTTTTAAGACCATTACTATTAAAATTGTGCGGCCATTCCTATTTGAGTGTGGTGCTGGTTCTCAGGAGAAGGGAGAGAAACTCTTACTGTGGTTGTAGAGATGGGTTGCTACAGGAGAGTTAACACAGCTGAAGGGAAAGCATTCCAGTAGATTCTTTCCACTGGGATTTGAGGTTTTTTCATTACTGGAGCCTGAACACAGAAGAGCTTCACCATTACTGAAAATGGTTCATTCACTTTCCTGATGTACCCATCTGTTAAGAAACAGAACTAGAATGTGAATGGAGTGGGAGACAAAAACGGTGACAACAGCTTGGCCTAATTTGAAGAGGTGTATGTGAGAGCGAGCAAGCCTTGATTTGGAATTCAAGGCTAGCTTTTAAAAGCCCTTCCAAAAGTAGATTCTTGTCCCAGTCTCAAGTGGCTAGTGTGGTGGTAATGAGAGGAGTTGTTTGCTTTCAAAACGGGAATGATAGTCCCTAGAAATGTAGCTCATTTGATCTGTCAGAGGAGCAGTTGCAGAGATCTTCAAATTATTATTATTAACCATAATAATTGTTAGACACCTTTCAAAAA